GACATCATGAATTGAAAACTACTAGCTATTGGGCTTTTATGAGAGTCGGTGAGAAAGAGTTCAGAATAATGAGCTCCATATTTCGAGATGAAAAGTTGTTAGTTTAGGCCAAAATTAACTTGTAACACTTGGCTAAATTTTTGTGAGCCAAGTTTTATTGAGCATGATCCGCTGCTTTCATTCTACGATGAGAAAGTCTTAAGTCACGATTCAGAGCTGGAGTTTTGACAACGACTGAAAATTTGTCAGTCGAAGACTGCCAGGCTCTTATCTTTTGATCATTAAAACTATGGAAATTGTTAAAAATGAGTGCAATAGGCCAGCTTTAGTGTCCAAACGAAAATCAATAAAAGATCCGTGAAAAACGGTTGGCTTTAAAATTTCAACCATGCCGGACTCGTAACTGGTCAGTCTGATTTCAAGTATGACCCAGATATTATACAGAATATTATGTTTCGCAATGTTTCGTGCTTTTCTTGGAATCAGCTTTTCGATGGAAAAAGAATCATCAGAGCCAAAATCACTAAAAATGTCAACGCATTTAGAGCTTGATTCGTTTGGTAGTATCCTTAGGGGTGCATCAGATTTCCGACTGGTTGTTCTAAACTCAACGTCTTCGCGAGTCAATTAACGCTAATGCTCAAACTTCTGCCGTAATCAAATTCTAATATCTACTGCACCTGATAAAAATACCAGTTCGAACAAATGTGATTTAAAAATGAGATATGGTTTGTTCGGAAGACTATATGCATATATTCTTTTAGCGTTAGAATATGCCAGTGAACCTCTATATATGTCCAACAGATGAGCTCCAAAGTGATGGAACGTTTGAAGAGTTTCCTTCGTAATTAAGAAATAACCACGCCAGACTATGAAAATTGCAAGCATTATAAAGATTGAGACTAGGGAAGAACCCAAGTTCTCTGTTTATTTTGGTGATGTTCTTTATAACATTTGTCTCCGGTTACGTCGAAAAACAATTCGAATGCTGACAATGTCTCATGTGTTATTTTTTAAATAGTTAGAAACAAAGATGATTCGATGGTAAAATTGTTATGGCAATCTTTTGATTCACTTAAGCAAGAGCAGTAGAATTTGCTAGCATATTTACCTGGTTTATGTGGTCGCTTTGTTTGTTGACTATATAAATATATATCCCTCTCTAATAATGAAGCACTCACAAACGGAATTTGTTTTGATTTTGATTCCTGTGTTACTCCTTTGGCAACATCACGTAATATCATTTGGATGTCTTCATTCTCAGTTGTAATATGTTTTAAAAGATGTGTTGTAAATAAACCATTTCTCTGTCCTTTTCCTTCAATGGCTATAGTTCCAGGCGCGCAAGCAAATGCAATCAATGAACCAGCCTTGTGCATTGCCTTGAGGCCTACTGATTTTGAACCACTTACATCTGGATTACGTGCGTCTACCTCAGGATTACGTAAGTGATACTTTCTACAACAATCCAAAAGGAATATTGTTACATATGGATTGTGATCACTTAAACTGTCAAGAATATGTTGTGCATTGATTGCACTCTTGTTTAAAGCTGCACCATTCAAAGTTGGAGTGTCTTTTGGTATCAAATAATTTTGATCCTAAAAGTACCACAAATAAAACATTCATAGAAAATTAGGATCACTTTTAAGGATGAAACCTTAATACATACTTCCCATTGTATCCCATGTCCAGCAAAATAAAATAGAACCATATCGTCGCGCTCTATTGATTCTTCGAAATCAATAACAACATGTCTCATTTCAGCACGTTTCAGATCTAGTTTCTTTGTAACAGCAAAACCAATACTCTCCA